CAACAAAATTAGAGATAAGGGCAAAATAGTTTCTGCAGGGTGTTGAGGGGGTCGGGGGGAGAGGTAGGGGGCGGGGGTGAGGGTGGGGGGGAGAAATGACCCAAACATTGTGTGCACATATGAATTAAAAAAAAAAAGCAGTAGCAATAAAAACAGCATGCTACTGGCAGAAAAACAGACATGAAGACCAATGGAACAGAATAGAGGACCCGTATATGAATCCACACAACTATACCCATTTTATTTTTGACAAAGGTGCCAAAAATATACATTGGAGAAAAGACAGCCTGTTCAACAAACATTGCTGGGAAAAGTGGTTTTCCATCTGCAAGAAACTGAAACTAGATCCATACCTATCACCCTATACTAGTATCAACTCAAAATGGATCAAGGACCTTAATGTCAGACCCAAAATTCTAAAATTAGAATAGGAAAGAGCAGGAAACACTCTGGAAGTAATAGGTGTAGGCAAGAACTTCCTCAATAGAACCCCAGCAGCTCAATATCTAAGAGAAAGAATGGACAAATGGGAGTTCATAAAATTAAAAAGCTTCTGCAGAACAAAAGAAATGTTCTCTAAACTGAAGAGACCACACACAGAGTGGGAGAAAATATTTACATTAAGCAAAGTACTGATAACCAGGGAACTTAAAAATCAATGAACCAATTAACAAATGGGCAACTGAACTAAACAGAACTTTCTCAACAGAAGAAATTCAAATGGCCAAAAAACACATGAAAAAATGCTCAGCAACTCTAGCCATAAAGGAAGTGCAAATCAAAACCACACTAAGATTATACTTCACCTCTGTTAGAATTGCCATCATCAAAAAGACCACCAACAACATGTGTTGGTGAGGATGTGGGGAAAAAGGAATCCTAGTCCACTGCTGATGGGAATGTAAGGTGGTGCAACCACTCTGGAAAAAATTTGGAGGCTTCTTAAAAATCTAAACATAGATCTGCCATATGATCCAGTAATCCCCTCCTGAGGTATACCCAAAGAAATGCAACACAGGTTACTCCAAAAGCATCTGCACACCCATGTATATTGTGGCACTATTCACAGTAGCCAAGTTTCGGAAACAACCAAGATGTCCGCGACTGATGAATGGATCAAGAAAATGTGGTAATTATACATAATGGAAGTTTACTCAGCCATGAAGAAGAATGAAATCTTATCATTCGCAAGTAAATGGATGGGACTGGAGAACATCATTCTGAGCATGTTAGCCAGGATCAGAAGATCAAAAATTGTATGTTCTCCCTCATATGTGCTCTTTAGATCTAGGGCAAATACAGCAATATTGTTGGACTTGGGTCACATGGCAAGGGGAGAGCACATCCGGGAGATAGGCAAATAGGTAGAAAACCCAAAACATGAAAGCGTTTGATGTCCCCACTCCACAGGAACTAATACAGACACCTTGAAGCAACAAAGGTCAACATGAGAAAGGGATCAGGAACCAGTGTAAAGATCACTTAAAGATGAATCAACTTGGGTTGTAACACATTTGTACATGGAAGCAATGCTAGGAATTTCTCTGTATAGCTATCCTTAACTCAACTAGCAAAAACACTTTGTCTTTCCTATTGTTGCTTATGTCCTCTCTCCAACAAAATTAGAGATAAGGGCAGAACAGGTTCTTCCTGAAAGCCCCGGGGGAGAGGGGGGGTAGTGTGGGGAAGGAGGTGGGGGGAGAAATGACCCAAACAATGTATGCACATGCGAATAAATGAATAATAAAAAAAAAAGATAGAAAAGAAGTATCAGAGAAGTTAGTATGTAGTAACTGGAGGAGAAAGAATTCAAACCCAGATAACGTGGATCCTACCACTCCTAAGGGTGCCTGCTGTGCTCTACTGCCCAGTTATATCCATAGTGAGTGTCTTTTTCTCACTGCTTTTGTTGTTCTTACAAGTATGTGAACAAGAGAGATATAAGTTCTACTAGTGAGATACCAAACTGCCGCTTAAACATGACATCATAGAACCAGAGTAATTCATATATGTTAGTGTTATCAGCTACATCGTAGAGAGCTTTGTGGAAACCTGTACACACTAGTTATGATTCCCTTTAGTAATTTATGCTTGTTTTTTTCCTTATAATGTTTATTTTCAACAAAAATTAATGATGTGATTTATAAATTGGAATGTTAATACACTGCTTAAGCCATAAAATAAGTGAAAATTGAATTCCTTTTTGACACATTACTTAGATCATCTCACTTAAGGCCTTTAATATACTGCAAAAGTCAACACTTTTTATAGTCTCGACCGTGGACAGATGTCCTATGGTGGTTTTGATCTTATTTTTATGGAGATAGTGTTTTATTGCAAGTCTGATGTGGAAAATGAAAGTATAACCAAAAGAAAATAATTAAATGATCTTGAAGTGATATTATTAAAGTATTTTATGGCTTGGCCTACATTTTCTTAGAAAATTTATTTACATTACCTCTGACTTAAATCACTAAAAAATTCTTTTAGACAAAGCTAATATCTTTGTGCAGTCCTCTTTCATTTTGATATTTGTTTCTTTTTAACTGCAGCTCAGTTACTTAAGAATTTCCTTGTTGTCAGGGAATTATCTATAAGCTAATACTTTGTATGTGTGGTTTCCAGTGTCAATTAGAGAAGAAAGGAATTCATCCCAGTTTGAATTAGATAAAATCCATCTAGTTTATAAGTTTCCTTTTTTTGAATTGTGATGTAATTTTGGATTTATATTTTTTTGTAAAATATATTCTACAAATTGCATTAGTGGATAATCACTCTGTTATGCATTTAAATGGCAACCAACTATAAGACCATCATCTTAACAAAAACAAGTATGATTGTGTAGAATTCTTCTCACTTGGACTTAGATATTGGACTACTGAGTTATATATCCCAGCTTATATAAATGAGAGGTTGTCTTCACAGTTCAGTGACAAACACAACAAACCCAGCAACTTCACTTAAAAAGATGGCTGTTTTTTAAATTACTTTATGCTATATTAAATTAATACTCTACTATTCAGTACTAGTTCTTGCAGTGTGTCAGACTGTAACCCAACTTCCCTAGTTCCCTAAATTCCTGACATAAGACAGTGCAGCACTATGACTATGTGTCTGTGTGGCTTGGATTTGTTCATTGCTCACTAAGCAGAATCTTTCTTTAAAAAACATTGTGTAAAGAGTCTAGAAATACTTGAAATGGTAAAGAACTTTTTGCTTTGTGGTAGTACGGGGTTTGAACTCAGGTTGAACTGGGCAGGCACCTATCACTTGAACCACTCCATTAGCCCTTTTTTTGTGTGTGGGTTATTTTGAGGTAGGGTGTCATTTTATGCCTAGTACTGAACTGAAATCCTCCTATTTGTGCCTCCTTGTGTAGCTGGGATGACAGGCATACCACCCTATCTAACTATTGGTTGAGATGGGGTCTCATGTACTTTTTTTGTCCAGACTAGCCTTGAACCACCATCCTCTCAGTCTTCACCTGCTGAGTAGCTAGGATTCAGGCTTCAGCCAACATGTCAGGCAAAGTGGTAAATAGCTTTTAAGAAATGACTTTTTCTTGGAAAATCTTAGCAAAATTTTTCATGGAGTTCTCCATATTCTTAAATTGCCAGCTGAAGTCTTATTTAATAAATTGTGTAAGCACTTTGAGATAATCTTTTGTTAAGACGTTTTATCAACTCTTGATCAAATAATGACAGCAAGGTAATTTCAGTTGTATCTAAAAACTGGCTTGTTTATGGAAAACATGCTTTTGCATGAGTCTGGAAGAATTTGACGTGAAGGAAGTTTGAGTTCATTTGTTGTGAACCCAAGGCTTGCACAGCAGAATTATGTTGGCAAGAAAGATGTTAGTCATTTTTACAGATCCACTGTGTGAGTTCCATTCTTCTTGGGAAAGAATCACTTGATGGAATAGATTCTTGAGCTAGATGTTTTTTTCCAGCAGAAATAGGACATAAATATTAAGAATTATTAATGGTAATGGATTTTTAACTTGGTACTTACAGCTAGAAGCAAGAATTCAGACATATGTATTTATGTAAATGATTTAAGCTAATACAAATAAATAACCCTTAATACACACTGAGAGCAGCTGCTCTTTTGCTCAAGTTGAGAAAAACATTCTTGAATACATGAATGTGGATTTATTCATCACAATCATTAAAGCTGCATATGTAGGAAGATTTATAAATAACATTCTTTTTTATTATAAAGTTTGGGTAGCATTCATAAAGTCTTAATTTTGCTCTCCATTCTTTTTCCCTATAGGCTTGTGACTCCAGAGCAGCCACCAAAGTCCAAGTTCCTGACCTTAGGGTCTAAATTCCGCTATAGTGGCCGCACCCAAGCACAGACCCGTCAGGCAAGCACCCTCATAGACAGGCCAGCACCACACTTTGAGCGTGCTTCTAGTAAACGGGTCTCCAGGAGTCTAGACGGAGGTAAACACATTTATAATCATTTTGGGTTCCATTCATCTTTCTCTAGTCCAGCCAGGTGAGAAAATGGGAGTCTAGTTAATGAGACCATTAGACATATCCTAGAAGGATACACTGCTTTTTCCCCAAGTAAACAAAATGCCATTGCTCTCAGAAAAAAAAAATTTTGTAGCATTTTCAAGTCGTCATTCTGATCATATGCTTTCTTTGTATTGTTAGTGCACACAAATGTTTATTTAACAGTTCTTGTTTGTGTTCATGTGATGTTTGCTGAATGCGTTTTTCATGGTTTTACTTGATTATTTTTTGTATGTTAGCATATGAACCTTAATGCAAATGAATGTAAAACATTTCAAATATCATCAGATTTTGAGTTAGGTGTACTGAAGCTTACGAGAGTATGAGGTGCCATTCACAGCCCCAAGGGATTAGTTTTAAGTACAGTATTTTAACAAAAAGAAAGGAAATATAATGTGTTCTTTGTTCTTTAAGAGGAGATATGTATAAATGTAATTTCTTTTCTCTTGGAATTCTAATAAGCTGTGTGTCATTTTATGTAAAGTATACATGGAAGTAAATTGATCTTGCTTCTATTTTATTGCCTGGTCAATTTGGGATTATTAGTAGGCTTCCTACAAAAGCTGAGGTGAAAAGCTGAGGTTAAAATGCTTTATGAAAGACTTCCGTTTTCTTTCTACAAAACAGAAAAAAATTTGGTATAGTTTAGTTTTTCTTTCCTTTTTTTTTGTTGGTGGGGTCAGTGCTGGAGTTTAAACTTGGCTTTGAACTTGTAGGCAGATACTGTATCACTTCAGCCATGCCTCTGGCCATTTTTGTTTTGCTTAATTTTGAGACAGGGTCTTGCATAATACTCCTCCTTGTTTCCCACATAGCTGGATGATAGGCGCGCACCACCATGCTCAGCTTGTTTTTGCTGTTGTTGTTGTTGAGATGGGGGTCTTGCTAACCTTTTGCTTGGGTTAGCCTCAGACTGCTATGGCTTCTGATTTCTACCTCTAGAGTAACTGGAATTGTAGGCATTAGCCATTTCTCCCAGCTTACATAGTTAATTTTCTATGTGACAAAACAATTTTCACTAGAAAACTATTGGTTATATTTCTAGTAATAATATATTTGAAACTTTTATTTTACTATCACTTACTTGATATATTTCTGAAATATGAACTTGAACAAGTAAGTAATTAGGTAAAATAGACCACACATGTACTAATAGATAAAAAGCCTCTTTCATTAGTGAAGGACTGGCCTTTATTGACCTTGATCTCCTTTTCCTAGAAAAAAATAGGAGAAATGGATTCAGATGAACCCACAAAGACATTTCCCAGGATCTGTTGGTGGGCATTTTGGTATATATAGTTAGTAAATCTTGATTCTTCAGAATCTCCCACATAGTTTTATGAAGCCACATAAAAATATGCAAGGGGACCATGACTTGTGCTTCAAATGAAGGTCCACATTTCTAAATCTAGAGATTTAAATTTAGTGAATTATTAATATCAGTCAACAACTGAGTACTTTTCCTAGTAAATCTAACTAATGTGCCAGCCCATGTAAATATTTTCAAGCTTTGCCTGTAACCACAGAGGATTTATACAAGTATCAAATAAATGTAATCACTGCTGTTTAATGCCCTGAGAGAAATCATTCCTTTTTCTGGAACAGTGTCTGTTTTCAGCCTTTGTTTTAAACTGTGTGGCTCTGTAACTTTTATATTGCTAGTTTTAGTGTTTAAAAAGAGCAATAAACCAGTGCATATTCATTGTGGTATATAAACCCTGCTCAGGGAAACCTACCATCTTGTTTAGGCCATTAGTGCAGAAGGTTATAGGAGTCTGTATCTGAAAACAATGATTTTTACAAGGAAAAGCAACAAACATGGCACAGTAATCTATTATTTTTTCCCTTTGTGTTTTGGACCCTGTAATTCATCAGATGGGCAAGTCATCAAAAGGATTATTGTGTTATTGTGAAAAATAGGAGGCTTTTCTTGCCAATACATGACCAAACAGCCAGTGAACTCTTTGGTTAGGCTTATGTTCTCTTTTTTCTTCTCCCAAAGCAAAACAAGTTTGTGACTTGGTTCTAAGCTTTTTCTCTGTTGTTTTTTCTTCAGTATTTCCTTTCTATTGTTGATATGTGAGGGCTTTATTTTTTCTGTTTACTTTTTAAAGTTAAGCTAGAATAATTTAAATATATTTTAAAGTTTGGCAAATTAAACAAATCCTTTTGTGATTACATGGAAAGTAAAAATCAATGTGATACCTAAATACCAAATGTCAAAATAAAACAAAACCAAAACCTAGAATAGCTGTTTTGAAACAGTGAGACGACTCTGAGAGTAGGAAATTGAACCAAAAAGGAGGCAAATCATTTACAAGAACTCACAACCAACATGCATTTGGGAGTGGTAGAGGCAGTGATTTTTCTAAAAGTGAAAAATACAATGAGCAGGGCCGCAACTTCAATGGGCTAATCAGGAAAGGAAGGCCTCCTCAAAGAAGAACTAGTTCAATAGACTTGAACAATGAGAGGGAGGCAGTCATGAGAAGAACAGGCATTCACAACAAACCTTTTGAGACAGCAGAAGTGGCAGGGCTGAAAGTTTTAAGATAAAGGATTGCTCACTAGAAACAAAAAAGATGAGCCTGATCAGAGCTCATCATCAGGGATGGTGGGCTGCGGTCAGGTCACGTAGGGCCTGCAGGCCATGGTAGAGAATGGTTTTTATTCTACATGCTGTAGAAAAATGTGGGGTGTGTATATTTATGCAAACACATAGGATCGTGATGTTATCTTTTTGAAAAATCATTTGGTGCAAGAGAACAATTAGAAAAGACTGAGACAGAAGGAGGTAGACTAGAGTAGTGCAGGCGAGAGTATATGGTGAGTTTACCTTGGGTGGGAGTAGGCCAGTTGGTCATTTGGTACCATAGGTTGGGCTCAGTGCCTGAGCCCACAAGCTTCTCAGGTTTCTACAGAAATCTCTTAAGATCTGAAAACATTTATTGGCTCTGAGATACAAAGAGAAAATTGCAAACTGAAATAAGTATTTCAAAGTATGCACACAACTTTGTCAATTTCATTGTGTAACTTGTAATTTGATATTCATATTTCATCACATTACATTTGAAGTCATTTCTAGGTCAGGTTTTCTCATTTTGCAGTACGTTCTGACTGCATGTAAAGGATGCTTAGAAATCATAATCATAAATTAAAGAGTTATGCGGAGCCATACACTGTCAGAGGGAAACAGTAAAATCTTGTCAAAAGTTAAAAAACATCAGCTCTAAAAATAAGCATGCGTAATGAAAGACATGAGATACGAGTTCATTTTAATGTTTAATGATTTGGTATGGGCTTTCATAAGTATAAGTACTTCAGGTTGGCAATTTTAAAAGGGGAAGTGGTAGAAGCAGAGATGGAAAGAATCCACTACATTTAGAAGTATATCCAAGGACCCTGTTGAACTTGCTGTGTTGAGGGAATAATTCTGGGAGACTTCTGCCTACATGGCTCCAGCAAATAGGTACAAGTGTGAGAGTAGCATTTGATGAAGAAAGGCAAGATTGGAAAAGAAGCACATCTTGGGCAGGACATGCTAGAAGTGTAGATTAAGAGGAATCTTGTGATACATAGATTGAAAGTGTTTGATGCTTTCTAAGTCCAATATAGCAGGTCACACGTAGCCCCTACCCTCCAAGAGCTTCAAGTCTCAAGCATTTGTGTGATTACTTGGCTTCCCTCAGGGCATGGTACCAGAACAAGCCACAGGGTGGCAGTAAAGCACTTTTTGTACAAGTGAAAGGACCTCATAGGAATTTTGTTGCTTGGGGAGGAACTCTGAGTGGGGAGAGAGGTTATCACTTGCTACTCACTTTGCCTTGCTGAGTGTTGCTCTGCAATATGACAAAAACCTTAACTCAATACACATTTCTGCCCATTTATGGGAGAGATAAAGGAGCACATAAGGACCAGGTTTGCTAGTATGGGGGGTAGTGGTGGAGTCTGTATAGTATTACATTTACTGTAGGTCAGGTTGAGATGTTTGGGAAAGGTGTTAGAAAAATGAAAAATGAACATATAAATCCTTAGCATCTACTGACTTGTCTTTTGGGGTTTAAAGGTTTCTATGTAGAAGACTTTTTTTTTTTTAGCATGTTATTGTTGTTCTGGGGGTACATTGTGACATTTACAAAAGTGCTTAGATCTTGGACCCTCTCCATCATTCTCCTTTATCCCCATTCCCTCTGGAATAGTTTCAACAGGTTTCATTTTTCCTATTCATCTCCTTTCCTTATGTGCTCTCCCCTCCCACTGGTGCTAACCCCGAGACAAGACCTATTTTACTTTCCTGTCCTTCATTTTGGAAAAAAAAAAAAAAAAAGACCTTTTTTTGTTTGTTTTGTTTGTTGTTTAAGGAGTTTCATTATAACATTTATGGAGGACTTCTTAAAATTTGCTGAAGTAAATAATTTTAATAATTAAATAGTTATTTTTGTAATAGGTGAATTCGGTAGGGTTGGGGGGAGGGATGGACAGACCCAAAACAACCTAGAAAAGCTCAAAGAGGCCCCAGAGAATGAAAGTGTTGGTTTACATCGTGATTCTGACATTTTGGCCTGTTTCAGCTGGTGTTGGAGCTCCACCTGCTGGCCAGTCCCATGTTCAGAAGATACCTTTCAAAAATCTGATTTGGTGTAGTTCACTGGATCAATATTCACAATATCATTAGAATTTGGTAAAAGTTTAAAAACGAGTTGATCTTTTCAGAACTCAAGTAGTATTCCTGTTGCCTGTTTATTTAAGAGAGGGTAAGCTTTTTCATAAGTGATGAAGGTCCTAAGGTAATCCAAAATTGTCTTTGAACTAGCTCCCATTGGTGTTGTGGACCAAAATTTTATGAAGGATTTTTCTGGCGCTGGGGAGGTTTCAGCATATGGCCCTGAAGCTGTCAGAACTGCCATGATACAAGATGGGGACGGCCGGAGGGATGTCAGAAGTCCAGCTAAAGCTTCACATTTGCAACTCATTGAAGGAAAGGTATGGCAAATTGCTACAGCGTGTGGTTTCAAACATGTGCTTAGGCTAGAGGCTGTCTGCTGTGTTTTCTATTTCAGAAATAAAATATTTAAAATTTATCACATTCTATTCTATGTTGATGTTCCCAGTTTTTAAATATGTGTAGGCTCTTGCTAGTTTGGAATGTGATCTCTCACCTTGTTTTGATTGTTGTCCAAAGCAAGATGTTTCAAGGTAAATTATATTAGTGCAAGTAAGTAATTCACTGGCCTTCTTGCCTTTTTTAATAATCATCTTATCAATCAAATAAAATCACCAAATTGTAGAACTATCATGTTTTGAAATTTGTATTTGGTTTGTTACAAATAAGTTTTAAAACTGTAGCCTCTGTGTTGATTATTTTAATTATGTTGACTTGAATTTTTTGACATGAACTGAGGTGATCTTTATAGAAAAAATGTTTTTCTTTAATAATGTATAACTGATGAAGAAATTCTTAAGCAAAAAGTTAATTTTTTGTGAATAGTGAGAAGTTGTAGTGTTGCCTTTGGCTTCATTTTGTGTGTGCACCATATTGAACAAAGAAGTAACCTATATTATGTTCTCAAGATTATCACTGTAATGTCATCGTGGGTAGTACAGTCACTTCAGTATTGATTTATGGAGAGCCTTTGAGTTCTTTATATATCTTTCCATAGCTACACGAAAGGCAGCATTTTTACATGCAACATTGGAAGTGAGCACACACACAAACCATACTATTGATTTATCATGTTTTCTAAATGTTAACATTGAAAAATTTAAAGACATACAAAATGAATTTATAAAGGACCTGCTAGATGAAGTAACTTCCATTTCTGTAGGAATTCCTGTATCTATCGTCCCTGACACCCAACATGGAGGTCTCATGGGGGTCCTGTCTTATGCCACAAGGACAAGTGCTTCATATAGCAGGTTACATCAACTCATTTGTATTCTCTTGTTAAAAGGATCTGTGACTATCATGTTGAAAAATTATTTGGCTGAAAATTATTTAGCTAATAACAACAGAATTATGATGATATCACATCAACTGCTCAGAACTTGTCAGATTGTCTTTTTAAAAAATAATTACACTAATGAGACACCCAGAAAAGTGACTGCTTATATCTGAATCAGAAGAACTTAGCATTTTAGGTCATTTCTGTTCCATTTTCCCTGCTTTTAATTTGGCAGATCTAGCTACTTAAATTTGTTTTTTATTTTTTTAAGGACAAAAAATACTTTTAAATTCCAAAGGAAATCTTGCTAGTAATCAGCAAATGTCTGGTTATGGTGGCTTTTTGTTGGTGCTTTGAATATCTTGTCAGCAACCATGTTGAAGAGTAAAATAATGCCATTTGAGTTTCATAGGATCCATATGCAACCAGCTTTTTTCCTTTAAAAATGGATCATTTAATTCATTTTTATGACTGTTAATGTGACTGCTTGAGAGTAAAATTTTCACTAACTACCTATTTCTTCTTTTCTCTTCTTTCCCTTTGCATTCATTTTATCCTTGAATCTATCTGTTGTGAAATTTCATATTCAATCATGGGTTTGCTCTTGAAAATAGACTGTTTGCATGTGTCCACATTCACCACTCATCCGTTGTACTTCATCTTTTTCCCCAAACCTATTGGCAGTCCCTGAAGTAGACTTGCTGTCAGACATTTCAGAGGAAGACCCTGTTGGGGAGGCTGACCAGATCACACTAGACAGCGTAGAGCTCCTTTCCACAGGTGAAACATCAGAGCAAGGGGACACTGAGGTTGGCACACCGGATTCTGACTTGGATCCTGTTACAGCCCCTCCTCAGCCTGTTCATGGGAAAACTCTTAAAGAGGCTGACCACAAGGATTCTGAGTTTGGTTACTTCTTCAGCTTCTGTAAATGTTTTCCCCCTGGCTTTCCCGCTCTCCTTGATGAAGATGGGTACCTTGCTTTCCCCAGCCTCCCCAAGCTCTGGGTCCCCTTCCTCCCTCCTGATGTCCAGCACTATGTCCCTATCACCTCTCCGTCATTCATCCCTTCCCTTATTCTCATCTTTGGGCTGCTTCTCTCTGCTTCTCAGTCCGTACCTTTTTCTCTCACCTTTGCACTTCCTCTGGCTCTAGCCCTCTGCTATCTGGAGGCCAAAGCCACCTCTTCTAATGTTTTTTATGACTGTGACTTGAATGACAAAACAGAGGAAGAGGAAGTGGTTGCTGATAGTCTCGCATAATCTACATTTTTGTGAAATCAGCCCAACTACACTTCATTGTCTCCCTTTCCTAATACAGAGTGTAAACATGTGCATAAATTTTACTGATTGTCCTCAAAATAATACCATCTGCACATCTTCATATACACATTAATTTAGTGCATGAGAGATAAATGTAGGTATATATGCATTGTAGTCCTTTTACCAAGTCCACAAATTCTAAATTGAGGGCAAAGCAATAGGATTATTTTATAAATATCTAGATCATACTAGATTTTTAACAAAAGCTGTAATGGAGAGGAGACCCTGTTTTGTCCTTAAACCACAGTGGATCTGGCTATTTTGCAGAAAAATGTAAATTCTGTTCCTTAAGGATGGAGAGTTTTCTTTTTGCAATAGAACTTAGAATATAGTAGACGTAATTGTAATTGACATGTATTAGCAGTGCTTCTTAGTGTTGTTACTTCTCTTGTTCAAAATCCAAGCTTGTTCTTGCATTTATGAGGCTGTATCTGTAATCTTTACTCCTCACATTTGTAGATCTGATCTCAGAAACCTTTGTCTCTATTATTGTAACATTTGGGTACCAGACAGATGAGTTTTAACTAGTGTTGTTTTTTTCCCTCCTACCCTAAATCATGAAATTATATAAAAGAGTCACCATGAGGTATTTCATAAGGAAGATATTATTCTGTAATCTTTAACAAATATGCATGAAAATAAAGCCTAGCTTTTTGAAAGTTTAGGCAATACAACACTAAGGTTGGGCCTTTTAATGCTTTTTTTATTTAAAATTAGGTTTCTGGTTTGAGGATTTTTACTCCTGTATAAGGCATCTTTTTCTTTTTTTAAAATATACTACATCTGCACTACAAGTAAGTCATTGTCAACATGTGCAGCAGGTTTTCAATTATTTTGATAAAAAAGGGGGTCTGGGTATTTACAGTCTCATATCTTGGGGATACTATTAATACATAGAGTAAATCTCAAAATTCAGAGCAAATCTAAAGAAAAATGTGAAGAAATGCAAATGAATATGTATTATAGAAGAAACCATAATTCTTTAAGTTTACCTGAGAAATACCAGAAATCAACATTTTGAGAATTAAATGTTGATAAAGGAATTGAAAGATGGTTCTTCTAATAGGTTATTGAATAAGTCTGTCTCATTTTTCACCTGTGACTAAAAAAAAAAAAATCTCTCTTAAGATCCCTGCTTGAAATACTTTAATGATTGCTGAAAAAATAAATTTTTAAAAAGGTAAGCATTTTGAACTCTTAGATTTGGCACTGTTATCCTAACAAAGAAGGAAAAGATTGTGTGGTATGAATTAACCTGTAAAGGTTGATTCTGCAGAATCAATATTTTTCTCTCTTGCCATTCTTTTCCTGGTGCCAAAACTTATTCAATGTTTATATTACTCTTAAACTTCCAGATTAATTCTTTTGGGTCATTAATTATTGAGAAATGTCCAGCTTATGAAAGATTATTCTTAAAGAGTTTTTTGAAGGAAAAGACAATATTTCAAGATTACTTTTAAATACCATTTTAATAGGAAAGTAACTAAATAAAGCAATTTTGCTTCAGAGGAAAGAAATCTGTATTTAAATTCGATGAGGAAGTGGCTCAGGTGTTAAAGCGCCTGCCTAGCAAGCATGAGTTCAAACTCCAGTACCACCAAAGAAAAAAAAAAAATCTAATAATGATGAGGCAACGTAAAATTTGATACCTTGTACCATTCCTAGTTGATCTAGACATTTCAAAATAGAACATGTTGAATTATGCCATATTTGCACTCTCATATTTTCATTCCCAAGTTAAAAAAAAATTCAAATGCAAAGCATAATCTAGGGACTGAGAAAGAGCAAAGCTTCCATTCTCCATTCCATCTTTGCAAAGGATCATTTCCATCATTTGTACAACACTAGGTGAAGAAAGATCAAAGTGGCTTAATACTCTGCATCTTCTGAGGGCCAAACAATAAAGGTTGGTAATGCTGCCTCACCACTTAAGTTTGAACACAGCTTCTCTGCACTGATGGAAAAGTTCCCACTAATGCTCCCCTTCTTTCTGGCCACTTGCTGTGCGGCTTTTCAGGCAAAGATGGAAGAAGAGGAAACACAACTGGAGGAGGTGGCTGTTTTCCCCTAAAGTTGACTATGTGGCGGCTGCTGCCTGCCATTATTATTGTGGGGAAGGGCTGGGGAGGGTAGTGGAATGCACTTTCAGAGTTTGTGAGTTTGTTTGTTGTGGTTTTAAGTTCTTAAGATTTTTATGCCTCTTTTAAAGTCTTAACTGTCAAACTCTGGGTTGTTTCTGGTGCTTGCTGATTGATACATTTATGTTTATTTGCCTTCCCCCCCTGTGTGTGATTTAATTTCACAGAAAAATTCCTTGAGAGTAGAAGGGGATAATATTTATGTCAGACATAGCAATTTAATGTTGGAGGTTTGTATGATCTAAGAAAACAACTGTCCTAATGGCTGCCAAGCTGCTGTGGATGGGAGGTCACGCACAGGCTGGCTGGCAATTCTCTTCAAGCACAGTGCATGAAATGCATGGGGAAATTCAACTTGGGAGTGCATGTTACCAGCCCAATTTGGTTCTTTTAAAGTGGCTTAGGTAAGGATACATCTACTAGAAGTTCTCAAAGTGACTGCTGGGAAAAAAAAAAGGGTTCTGTTCAGTCAAATAAAGTTTATCCAGTTGTCTTAAAGTTCTATAAGTAAACCTGTTTCCCTCATGTGTTATCTCTAGGGCACAGAATCTGAAGTAACATAATCCCATCCTTAACACACATTCAGCAGGCAGGTATTTGTTGATCTGACATTAAATCATATGACTTGATTTATGCCCATTTTCCCCCCTAAATCCAAGTGATTAGGAATGTGGTCCAGTTAAAATATTCTATTTGAGAGTATATTAATTAATGGAATTGTTTTGATTAAAAAGAAAAGAGAGAAGAAAAAGAAAAAACCTAACTACTCAATTAGGAATTTAAAAATATGTTCCCCGTGTCACACGAGAACAATTTTTGCTTTCTCAAGGTAGAAGGTGGCAGTGTTTTAAGTAGAAAGTTGCATCTCTTGGTAATCTGACTAATCCGTTTGGTTGCTTTGGCAGCTTTGGTAACTGAAAATGTATTTTTGCTTACCTTACTAAAATGCTGTAAAGTATAATACATAACATTGCTTTGAACAAATGCAAGAAATGTGCCTGATCTCAAGCCACAGTCATCTCCATGCCATGCAAAGGTTTTAAGATTTTGATGAGTTTTGCAAATGGCTATAGAAGCTCGCAGATGAGCTCCTATGCTTGCGCTTGGACATACACGATTATCTCATTTTATCATATGTGTGAGACTTGCTCCTTGGGAGTGGGATAAAAGTTACAATCTACAGGTAGCCTTGTGAGTGTGAAATACATGCAAACATTTAAAACTCAGTGAAAACCATTTCCTGAACACTAATTTACCACATGTAGTGTTTACCAGAGCCAGTCTAAAAAAAAATTAAAATCCAACAAACACCGTTCAGCAGGGTCTATTCCACTGAAAATCAACATGATAGTTTTTCTTAGATTTTGGCATGTGAGGGGCTTAGCCCCACTTCTGTGCTTGACATTACATGAAATCAGTATTTTGTAGACCAAACAGAAGCAGCCTCTGGAAGCAATTACTTTTATTCCTTAAAGATTAAAAGCCACCAGTGGAATTTTCTGACAAAAATCAACCCTTGGTTTTTCTTCTTTTTTGGATGATCCTGGACTGGCTTTCTCTTCAGGCCAAAGTGTTCTTCTAAGTCTATCTCTCTCTGTTTTGTACTTTGATTTTCTGTGTTCACAGAATGCAGTTTTAGTGAGAACAAAGTCATAGGCTGCAATCCAAATGTTGTGTGGAAAGAAGCACTATTGTTAGCTATTTTGATGATCACCTCCATTGCTTCCTTCTAACAATGTCAATAATTCTTTTAAAAATTCTCAGCAGAGAAGAAGTAAAGGTCCTTTTAAGTATGAATCATAAAATATGCACATTGGCTTTATTTTCAAATTTTGACGAACATGTGAGGGCTATTCCTAGGTGATAATATGGCTTTTGAGACTTGGCATTTTTCTTGCTTTACTATGTTTTTTTATTATAAGTTTACTTTGTCTTATTTTTTGGTTTTATTTTTTTGTCCTACTGGGTTTTTCCTTTTGGATTCCCCTCTCCCCCTTGTTACATTACGTATTGCTAGGACTTGGATAAGGCCCAGGAGGACATACTGAAACATCAGGCTAGCATTAGTGAACTCAAGCGCAATTTTATGGAATCCACACCAGAGCCGCGCCCTAATGAATGGGAAAAACGACGTATCACATCTTTATCCCTACAGACACAAGGGGTATGTCACTAGCTATTTGTTGGTTATATGCCTCACTTCAGTTATTGAGTAAAACTCAGATTATTAGTCTTACATTGATTCTCAGAAGTTACAAATTTTTTGTAATTGCTAACAATTTTTTAAAATACTAAATATTTATTAACTGTGTAATACTTATTGACCTAGTTCCTGTATAAATTTTATGAGTTTCAAAGTATTCCTGGAATATTTTCAGAGTAAGTTCATTGTTTTATTTAGGTAAATTAGTAGTAATAAATTGTTTTATAAAACAGCTTAGGAACTTACATAAAACTGCATTTAATAAACTTCTTCATTATTGACTTCTGAAATTACTTAATAAATAATGAAAATCATACTTAGGATGTTTTAAAGTTGTTATTGTAAGGATAATGACTTAAAAGTTATCTTTAAATACTGACTAGCTCTGTTGAAAACTTGTAAAATTTTACACACATATATATGTATAACTATGACTTAATATTGAAGCTTCCTAGTAATAATTGTAGACTAGTGTTTTTAAAGTATTTTCAACCGTAGCATCTCTCCACACTTCTTTCTTTCCTTGGTTTACTACTTCTCCATCACTAATATAAGTATTGCCTTTAAAATATATTCCCTAAATCTCTGCTCATTCCTATATCTCTCTGTTCCTCTCTGGTGCTCCCAGATCCCTTCTGTGGTTGATCAAGAATGGAATGGGCTCTTCCTGTATTTAATTTGCAATTTTAAAGAGTATACAGAGATGTTACGCTGTAATTTCATCTTTCTCCTTTCAGTGTCAAGTGCAACTTGAATGTTGCCAAATTATAGGCATTTGATTTAGATATTTTAATGCTATTTTCATTCACCCTTCCTTAAAAAGGAAAACTTTTAGTAACGTTAAGTTTCTAAGTTTGTGACATTGAAAACACTTGAGGAACTGATGAATAAAAATAATTGCTGAACTGAAAACATGAAGATTAAAACAACCG